CAAAGATTAATTAATAAATTGGCCAGATCTATTAATTAGTGAATCTCATTTTAGACAATTGAATCAAATTAATCAAGTTACTAACTTAATTTTAACTACTAATCATTAGCCCATACCCTTAATTCAATTCATACCTAAGTATAAATTTAGCTACTAAAAGCCATAAGTTCACAATTTAAACTAAGTAATAAAAGATAATTTTATTAATAAAGGAAAAGTTTACAAGATGGCTTACAGATCTTGAAGAACGGAATACAAAGCTCACAAATCTTCAAATCAACACTCTAAGATTTTTTAGAAGAACTCTCAAACTCAAATAAGGTGAAAAGTGAGATTTTTGGGGTAAGTGCTTCAAAGACTTGAAAATTAACTTGGAACGATGAAATTTAACCCACTCAAATTTAGTACAATATTTAGAAGTAAAAAGTGGAGATTTTTGCCCCAAAAAGGGGAAGAACCGATTGGAGAAGCTTGGGAAAAGGGGAGGACGTCGCTGCCATTTATAGGGGGGAGAGGATCGACCGGCGGACAAACCAGCGGCCGCCGGACAGCCCGCCGCCGCCGCTGAGGAACTCTCCAGATCTCGCCGGACTACTGGTCGCCGTCGACAGGCGGGCAGGTAGGCTGCAGCCTGCCAGCCCGCCGGCGCTCCCTCTTGCCGCTGCTGATTCCGTTGTCCGCCGCCGCCAACCTGATTGGCGGCCAGGTAGGCTGCCGCCGGCCAGGCCGCCTAGTGTGCCGCCCTGGTCCGTCGATGTATCCTGCTTAAAATCTCGTTCTGAACACTTTTTTCTTCTGCACCGACTTCTAATTCCGCACCGATTGTGAGATAGAATTGTTTTTCTATTAAAATTTACTCTTTTTATTCCATTCTTGGCCCAATTTTACATATTACTTCAAAAGTATTCTGTTTATAATCAATTTATCAAAACATATGTTTTTGATAAAAAAGAATAAATAATTTATTGTTTTGATAATAAAAATGGTACAAGAACAAATTAAAAGTGAGCAATTTAGGTAATCAAAAAATAAGAAAGTAAGATCCATGATTAATGCATTAAACGGTCTATTACTATTTAAAGTTTTATTCTGGTTTATTTATTATGGTTTTTGTTTTTGAATATTTTAAAATTGTTTAACCAATTAACTTTCATGGTTTATTTAAAGGATATGAGTTGCATTAATGAGAGGATTTCTGGTGTAGTACTATTTAAGGGTACTATATTGATTTTGATCCATATATATGAATTTACTTATATAAATCTTTGTAATTCATTAATTTAAGTAAGTAATCTCACAACATATTTGTAAGTTAAATGATTAATATATTTAAAGTGGTCTTAACTTTCTATTATTCATTTACCTTGACACTTTTTTTGACACTTCATCAGCCACGTCATCAAAATCGACTTTCTCAATATTTCAAACGGGTTGGGCTTCTAGAATTGTGACATGTGGCGTGCTTATTAGAAAACCTTTTTATCAGTGTGCCATGTTAGCAAGTAATTTTTGTCCCTCATAGATCTTCCCAATAGCCCTTTTTCTTTGTCCACAATAGATCTTCTCATTTCATTTTTTAACAATTAAAATACCACAACTACCCCAACTTACTTTATTTATTACACCTCACCCACCTCATTTAATACACTCCACTCATTTTCATTAAGGGTATTATGGTAAACTTTTACCTTTTTTCAACTCTCCTTAAAAACCACCAAAAGTCAAAATGAGAACATCTTAGGGGACGGAGGGAGTAATGTTTAAAAAATAGTTAACAAAAAAATTTATTATGCGGAAATTAAATTTCATATTTGTTACACACAAATTTCTCCATATAATCACGTTTAAAAACTTTTATATTTTCATTCATTATTGGAAAATATTTAAATTAAATAGTATATTTTGAAATTAAAAAAAACACCTATTCAAAAACTATAATCAAAACAAATAAATTTACTTTAAGAACAGATAGATTGGTAGGACTAAACTAAATTACATTTGATTTTTTTGCTTTGAATTAATACTAATTGGAGAGATTTTCTAATTATTTAAAAAAAGAAACAAATATATAAAAGGAAATGGATTTTTATGGGCACACTTATTTAATAGAGCATTAATTTTATTCTGTTTATGTAAAAAATTCTAAATCAAATAAAAAGTATGTTCCATTTTAAAATTAGTATTTTCCATTTTAAAATTATTGTTTTCCATGTATAGCTTTGTAAAAATTTACATGTAACAAAAATTAGAAAATTGCTCCTGGGTACCCCATATTTTGAGAAACTAACTGCCGGGTACCTCATATTTTGAAAATATACTCCGAGGTACCCTCTATTTTTAGAAACTAACTGTCGGGTACCTCGCATTTTTGAAATATACTCCGGGGTACCTCCAAATATACATTAACTTACCCATAAGAGACATCCCATCTCACTCTTCGTCAAAGCCAGTTACGCCATTAATTTTAAGAATTAGAGTTTTGGAATTCCAAAAATAACCTTAGTTTTTATACTTTAATGATACAATCTATCGAGTTTAATCGAAGCTTTCGAATGAAACAGAATGTCCCTTATGGGTAAGTTAACGTATATTTGGAGGTACTCCGGAGTATATTTTAAAATTTGAGATACCTGATAGTGAGTTTCTAAAATTAGAGGGCACCTCGGAGTATATTTTAAAAATATGAGGTACCCGGCAGTTAGTTTCTCAAAATATGGGGTACCCAGGAGCAATTTTCTCTAACAAAAATTATCATTTCCATTTATAACTTTGTAAAATGATGAAGACTTGATAAGTGAGTATTTTTGTGTAAGAAATTAAATATTAACCGGTGTTCCTAATCGAAATATTTATGGTATAAATAATTGTTATAAATGCAATTACTTTTATATTTAATTCTTAAAAAATATAAAATGTGCTAATTATTTTGACATTTATGTCAAAATAATATAAGTAAGTAATATTCTTTCTTATTTATTCATTGAACCATCGACATCAATGTAACAAATATTAGTGGATAATAAAAAAAATATTTAAAGATAAAAAATTATAATATTTATTTTATGATGCTTATTACAAATACAGAAGGAGAGAGATCATCATCGGCTATAAACTCGCATCATCGAACACGTTTGATAAAGAATGTACTTTGCAAACACGTTCCAGTACATTTTTCCCAAAAAAACATCTATAATTTTCCAACCACGAAACAATTATACACACGCTTCATCGCGCTTTTAAGTGCATAAGAAACAGAAGAGAATTGATCTATGTTTACAACCCATTCTACTAATTTCTTTGAATATGATAATACAACTATTGTCTTTTTGTATAAAATATTATAAACAATGTTAGAAAATAGATATGGTGGACACACTCGATATATTTTAAATTTAAATGTCGAGGTAGAAAGTTAATATGCTTAAGATACATTAGTGGAATAAATTTTAGATGATCCTGCATGTAGAGAAATAAAAATTAAAAATATGTTTAGATTATATATGCAACATGTAAGTTGTGTAGAATGCTATATATATATATATATATATACACACACACACACACACACACACACACACACACATCAATTTGACACATCTCACAATAATGGTTGAGCAATAATGTACTCTCAGCGGACATATTCATCATCACATATCAAGTTTAATGTCACGATATGGTGAAAGACCAAAATTTACACAATTGTATATTTATGGTATACAGTACGAGATATGAAAACAAATAACCAATTTTAGGTATCTCAAATACTTTATTGAGTACACCCTTTTACTAAAAGTATTATTTACATGTGTTTGACAATATAATACACATGGAACAATATTAACATGCTAATAACAACAAATTGTTCTATTTGTTTCGCACAGTAGGGAGAATAATTTTTTTACTACAGATATAAGTTTGGTCAAAGATTTGAAAAATATGGTAGATGCATAATGTTTTAACACAGATATTTAGAAGAACTAAAAACTTCATGGATAATGAGCCTACTTCTAATGTATCATTGAGGCGGTTGAGAAGTAAGACTTCATATATAATGAGCCTACTTCTAATGTATCATTGAGGTTGTTGACAAGTAAAACTAGAGACTCAAAAAATTATAATATCTCCACAATACATGAAGTTGGTGCTCTAATAATTAAAGATCTTGATTCTTAACACAAGTTATTCCTCAAGAATATAGTGAACTTCACTAATCCAAACTTATTGGAAAATATAAAAAACTATTATATTCTTTTTTTTAAGATAGTGCACTACCGGCACCCGTGCTCGAGGTTGTTGAATGGTAAATGAATTTGTCTTATCCTTTATTCCATGAGGTGAAAAGTAGTATTTAATTTCTTATTCTTCATGCCAACAAGTTTGGAATTAAAAAAGATATTTTTGAGTACATTTTCAATTCCTCAAATATTATTTCTTCTACCTTGGTGTTTTTGTCCAATGATAAAAATCGTGTTAGAAATATATTTAATTGATCTGGAAAATATATTGTATTAAAAAAAATTCAGAATCAACAAAAATTTTGTCGACCCCGTGCACCGCACGGGTGAAAATACTAGTTTGTTAAAAGTGAGAGAGTATTGGGGAGAGGATAAATTTACTAATTTTTTAAATTAATTGTAACGCCCTGAAAACCGGCCCAGAAGTTAATTTGCTCATTAAATAAATAAGAATTATTTATTTATGATAATTTATTCTTTTAAAGAATTAAAAGATATTTTAGCGATTCTAACCATCTCAATATAACGAGACTGATCTGATTACAATTGTAAAGATTTAAGTTAAAAGACTGATCAGTACTAATTAATCAAAAGAATTAAGACGAATCAAGTGGAACGTATAAATGTTTGTCAATTGAATATAAAAGTTATATCATTGGGTAGGGATCGACGAATCGAACCCAACGACGCGAACGGATCTCAATTCAGAGTAAGTTGGACCGAAAAATGTGTTCCTACTCAGACACATTATTTTAAATTACGCAGTACAAAACCCTAAATTTCTTCTTAGATCCTCCTTCTCCAATTGAAAGACGCTGCCACTAGACCTCGCCAATTTTCTGTCTCCGGCGCACGCAAACCCACGAAGGTATTGGATGGAGGTCAGCGATCGAGCTCCAACGTGAGAAGCAGCAATTGATTTCCGGCGACTGACCTTCTCAATCAAGCGGCAACAAACCTACATCTCTCCGGCGACGAGTTCAGGCGGCAATGAGGACGAGCGATCCAGCAATTCCGGCGAGCCTTCTCTGCTCCGGCGAAATAGAAGCGACGGCGTCTGGCAGCAACTCCGACGCCTCTGACAGTGGTTTGGAACTAGCGACAAAATCCAGCAACTTGGCCTCTCCGGTGACAGAGGCTGGGACCAGGTGACGTCGGGCAGTGACCAGTGGAGTTCAGGCAGCAAACGAGATTACTATGACGGTGGAATCCGAATGATGTTCTCTTGAATTGAATTGACAAATCGAGGTGAGTACGTGGACATCTAACACTAGAAGATGCATCTAGGTTTGAAATTCCGTTCATGATTGTTATCGTGGTTGATCTATGTGATTTATCTGTGTAATTGTTGATTGTGGTTTCGGGAATGGTTATCGTTGAATCAAAAGGGTAGTATGCATGATTTAGGTGTTGATTGATGAATTAATGTGCTCGATAATGTTAAGGATGTTAATATGAACCTATTGGTGTTTGTTATGAGATTTCTATTGGTTCAAAGCTGAAAACGAAACAGGTATGAAAATGGATTTTGGTTTCGTCAGACGGTAGGCGGTACCGCCAGGACGGTACCGTGCTACCATCACACTCTGTATGCTTACGTTCTCTCTGCTGGTAGCTGTGACCATTCGGTTACCTCATTTGATCACTGGAATGGATAACCAAATCCTGAAGGGGCTGCAGACCTGGATGGATGAGGGAGTCTTATTTTGGTATCAAACGGGAATGACCGTATAAAGGGCAAGGAGAACTTGTTTGATTAATAAAGAAAATAATACTTACCACCAGCACATCATAGTGTAGTGTTAGTGTAGTGTTGTGGCTGGGTACAAACCAAAAGAACTTAGTGAATAATCTATCTCGAAAGACGTTACGTGTCAGCGTGCCCTGATCGACAAGATGAGACAAATGACGCAGACTCGAAAGAAGTTTTGACATCGACACGTGGAAATATGTTTGGCCGTTGGCAGACGCATCGTTGAAGGACTCTTGATCCGTTATAAGTCTAATTAGTAGATATTAGAGATGCCGATAGTGATAGTGGTGCCGTTATAGAACGCCCCACTTACTCTCGTTAGTATGATCAATGAATTGTTGGAAAAATAACTTTAATGAACCATGAACGAATCAGTTTAATCTCGACTATGCTGTTTGAAGATTTTAGGTTACGACTCGCGAAGGGTGAACCTACTCCTAGATCGATGAATGCACTTAATGTCGAATACGTTACTATTAAGGTCGTGTCACAAAGTTGAATGTCACCTGAAGTTTGGGGACGAACCTCTGAATGCGCGCCAAGAACCTGAAGTTATGATATCCGTACGTATCGCTCGAAAGGAGTAAAGCACGATAAGGTTGAACACTGAATAACATTGACTACTTTGACCAAGAACTACTTATCGAGGGTACGAAGCAGAAGCAAACACGAACACAACGAACGTGCGTCACACAACTTCACGTAGACAATCCATTCGAAAGATTGAATTTGCATCCCGACGTGACTTGGAAGCAAAGGGAAGAATCTTGTTGTTAATACCACGCAAAATACTCGAGCTAGGTAGGACGTACGACACGCTCCTAGGGACATGACGGCTAAGGTACGTTGTACGTATGACGAGACCATATATCAATAACCATTGATGTCGTAGAATTGACAAACACGACACAAAGAATACGAATGACGATAACCGCATGACGACGACGAATGCTGACAATACAGTACCGACGAGTGCGACGCACGAATCCTTAGACGACAGGTACGAAACCACCTTGAACGGATCGCACGAAGACTTGCTAAACAAAAGGTTGTTATGAAGACCGTTACGAGTGAACTTGAGAGAGCTGTTGTTAACTGAAATCTTGAAATCGAAATCCATAAATCTCAAGTACGTTGTAATTATCCAAAATTGTGAACGTAATTGCATGTTGAAGAATCTTCTTTCAGCTCAGAAAGATAGACATTGATAATAGACGAACGAATTAACTTCTACTAGGAATATATCAGGTTATAGACTCGAGAGAAAGAACCAATACGCTGATGACGCGAAACAATGTCGAACATGAATTTTAAGCGAACAATAACCCACTGTTAGTAGACATCAAAAGTTGACTCCTCTCGAGAGCAATCCAAGGGTAACATGTAAATTATTATTACCCAAATCATACAAGTACAACAATGTCCAATGCTTAACCATAAAAATGGTTACATGCATAGAATGAAAAAACAACAACAACGTACAACAACATACAACAACAGCGTACAACAATGTACAACAACGTATACTAAACCGATACAACAACAAACCCAATACAATAAGAAAACACTACAACCAATATCAAGCCTCCCTTAAACACGGGGGGAAACTAAAGCAGTCCAATCCCATTAGAATCCTTGGCAGCCACTCTCGGTTCCAAGCTAAGCAGATGCTAGTCCAATAGAGGCCCCATTTCAGATTTTCAGTATCCCACCGAGTAGTCTTGTTTAACAGCAACATCATCAGCAAACATCATCAGCAAGGCAGTTATCATCAGCAAACATCATCAGCAAGGCAGTAGTCTTGTTAGACAGCAAGCATCATCAAGCCAAACCAGCCATCAATCTGAGTATTCCCAGTTCAAAGCGCATTAACGCACACAGCAGTCCAGAGCCATTTCTCTATTCAAAACACACAGGATTCCCCAAAGTCTCCCTAACGCATTTGAAGTGACCATAGCAGACCATTCAAAACTCAGACCCTTTCTCATGCAAATGAGACTAGGTAATGGCCAGCGTTGGTCAAATTGTAGCATTGTGGAGATAAAACAATCCTGATGGCATATCCAGTATAAACCAAACAGAGTTCAGGTTCCCTCAAACCCCATTCGCAGCAGTCCATAATACAAGTGCAAAACCAAGTAGAAAAGGAATGCAGTCAGATTCCAATTCCATGAGCAAGCCCAGAAGCATTCAAAAGTTCCTTCAAAGCCAAGTCATAAATACCAATGCAAAGGGTGAAGCCAAGTTCAAAACCAAACCAAAGGACCTAACCATCCATCATGGCCAGTCAGAAGAATGACTGGTGGCATGCTGTTTGGTTAGCATCCAAGAAACAAGAAGCGAGCCAAGCTCAGAAAAGAGGGAGAAGAGGAAGCAGAAGAGAATGAAGAAGAAGGGGACAGAGGGGGAAACAAATGAAGAAGTGGGTGTGAAAACACCCCAACCAGGGACCCAAACCTCTCCCTATGTATCCAGAAGGGGTACACAGGAGTAGGCTTGTTTCCACCACCCCAATATAGGGTAACCCACCCACAAAGCCCAAGGCCCAGTCCACAAGCCATAATGTCCCTAGCCTCTCTGAAGAGTGAGAGATTAAGTACAGAAGGGCTCATGTCCAAGAAAGAAGGAGAGATGAGAAGGTGATGTGGAAGAAAGAAGGGACAGGGGGGAAACAAAGAAAGAAGAAGGTGTAGCACACCCCAACCAGAACCCAAGTTAATCCCTGCATATCCAAAAGGGGTACACAGGGTTTAGCTTGTTTTCGCCACCCCAAGCGAGGGGTCCACCCACCCCAAGAGAGAACCCCAGTCCACAAGCAATAGTATTCCTAACCAACCTGAAGAGTGGATAATTAGGTATACCAGGGCTCATGTCCAAGAAGAAGAAGGGAAAGAGGGAAGCAAGTAAAAAAAAGGAAAAAGAGAAAGAAGGGAGGAGAGGGAAGAAAGGAAGAAGACAGGTGTAAAACACCCCAACCGAAACCCTAGCTCCACTCTGCATATCCATAAGGGGTAAACAGAGGTTAGCTAGTTTTCACCACCCCATAAACACAGGGTCCTCCCACCCCACCTAGGACCCAAAGCAATCAATAGTTATTCCAAGAGAATAACAATGGATTACTAAGTTTCCAGAAGCCAACCACCATGGAACAACCCCACCCCCAGGCCATTATAACACAGCCCATCCACCACCCAGAGAGGAAGCACCCTTCCTCAAGATCACACAATCACCACCCTTGGGCCAACAAATCACAACAAAGTTATAATGCAAGATTATTGTTAGGGTAGATATGGTACATCACTCTATACACAGTAACCCTGATTTTCTCAATGGTAGACTGAACATTGACCCTCTCATGATCAAAATAGACAGCATTCCTCAATTTCCAGATGTTATAGACAGTGCACAATGTGGCCAATTTGTTCAACTTCCTTCTATTCCCATGTACTCCATGTCTGCTTTTGAGCCACCTAATAGTCCTTTCCAGAGTGGAGAGGGCTGGAGTAATATTGAGCCAAGTTTTCACAGCATTCCAAATCTGTGCAGAGGTGGTGCACTCAAAGAACAGGTGTTGGATTGTCTCTTCATCTCTATCACACAGACTGCAAGTTCTATCCATCTCAATAAAGTTAAGGTTAACTTTTGTTGGGAGTCTTCTCCTACAAGCCAACCAAGTTGTAAAAGAGAACCTTGATGGGATATAGGGCTGCCAGATAATCCTCATCCAAGGTTTAGAAGTCCCTTTCACCCTGAGTATATCATACAATGATGCTGTACTAACCTCTTCCTGCTCCATCAAAGAACTCCATGATTCACATTTCTGAGAAATCAAATCCCTCACTTGTGCCAGCTTCTTGAAGAAATGTGAGTCCCCTTTCTTTGGGACCCAAGTCCAGATATCCCTATCCAGAAGGTAAACAGCATGTACCCACTGTACCCAAAGGGTATCCTTTTTGGCAGCAATATTCCATAGATTCTTCCCCATCAGGGCCTTGTTCCAGATCAAAGAATTCCTTAGTGATAATCCTCCTTCTTCCCTAGGTTTGCAAATATCCTCCTAAGCACTGACTTATGTACTGGGAATGCCTGCAACCAAAAACCTTCAATGCCCTGTATAACACTCCTGATGAGTTCTACCCTTCCAGCAGCAGACAGGGTTTTAGTGCTCCATCTTCTTATATTGTCATCCACCTTGCTGATCAGAGGGGCAAAGTCCCTCTCAGAAGCCCTTTGAGAGGTTAAGGGGAGACCAAGGTATCTAACCGGTAGTTTGCCCTCAGGGAAATGTACCAGGTTGAGTATACTTTGTCTGTTGTCCTTGATAGACCCAGCCAAGAAGATGTTAGATTTCTGTGGGCTAATGTGTAGGCTAGAAACCAAAGTGAATTGTTCAATAAAATCAGCTAACACTTTAACAGAATTCAAATCCCCCTGGCAAACATCATGATGTCATCAGCAAATGCAATGTGATGGATCTTGAGTTTAGCACACTTAGAATGAAAGCTGAACTTCCTATCTGAAGTCATCTTCCCCAAAAGCCTAGACAGATATTCCACACAAAAAAGGAACAGAGTAGGTGCCATGGGATCTCTTTGTCTGATGCCCCTCTTACACTTGATAAATCCATGAAGTCCTCCATTGATTGCCAAGGAAAATGATGCAGTGGTGACAAATTCAATAAGGAGCCTCACAAATCTGAGGGGAAAACCCAACCCCAACAGAACATTTTCTAGGAAACTCCAGTTGATGGTGTCATAAGCCTTGGTAATATCCAATTTGATCATATAGTTGGGTGGAGCTCTTTTCCTGGCATAACCCCTAACTAACTGTTGGGCCAAGAGTACATTATCAACCAATCCTCTACCTCCTACAAAAGCAGATTGAGCATTGTTAATGATCATAGGGGTTATGCTACTCATCCTGTTGGACAGGATCTTGGTGATGATTTGTAAGGAACATTGGAGCATGCTATGGGTCTGAAGTCCTTGACACTTGGATTAGCATTCACTTTGGGAATAAGCACCACAGTAGCATGGTTGATTTGTTTCAATAATCTTCCACTGATGAAAAATTCATTAACAGCATCATATAGATTGTCTCCCACAATATCCCAGTTTTCCTTGAAGAAAGCTGAGGTATAACCATCAAGGCCAGGTGCTTTATCCCTCCCAATAGATTGCAATGCTTCTTTGACCTCAGCAATTTCCACTTTCCTCAAAAGTTGTTGTCCTTGAGAAGCACACAGCCTAGGCCCCTGCCCAATGACACTCCAGTCCACAGGTTGTGTGAGGGTTGTAGTGCCAAAAAGGTTGGTGTAGTAACCACTAAATTCTTCAATCACTTGTTCCCCTGATGTAGTTGTTCTGCCCTGATCATCTACAATGAATGGAATGAAATTCATACTATTTTGTTTCTTCATAAGAGAATGAAAAAACTTAGTACATTTATCCCCTTCCAATGCAAGCTGACACTTAGCTTTTTGTTGATAAAAAGCTCTCTCAGCATCCACCAAGAAGCTAGCTTTCTTTCTATTGGCCTCAGACTCAGCAATAAGAATAGGGTTGTTGGGGTCCAGGATCATCCTCTTCAGGGTTGAAGTGTACAATTGCCTGGCCTAAGTAGGCCTTCTAGAAATATGCCCAAATTCCAGTTTATTAAGGGTTCTGAGTGGTTGCTTCAAAAGTTTCAACTTCCTGCAAATTCTAAACTGCCTGGTGCCCTCCACCCTGGTGTCCCATACATCTTGAACTATCTGTTTGAACTTGTCATGCTTGATCCACATATTAAAAAATTTGAAAGGTCTGGCACCTTTAACACACCAGTTAGCCAGATTCAGAACAACTGGGCAGTGATCAGACTCAATTTCCATATCTCTGAAATCGGCCCAACACTCCCAGTTGAGTGCATCCCATTCATGGTTGATCAAAACTCTGTCTAATTTGGCCCATTTACTGCCCTTGTTCCAGGTAAATTCTAAACCAGTGGCCTTAGCATCCATCAAGTCATTCATCATTCTAAAGTAGAGGAGGTCTTTCATGTAGTATAAGCCCTGGACATTGGAGTTAACTCTTTCCCCAGAACTGGCCACAGAATTGAAGTCCCCCATGACAGCCCAAGGGATATTCCCATTACCAAAAGATGAGAGTTTGTCCCAAAGCTCCCTCCTCACACTGACATTGTACAGAGCATACACAAAAGACAAAGCAAAAGTTTTCTAGTAGTGAGGCAATCCACATTACAGTGAATGAATTGCTCACCAATCTCCAAAAAAGTGAGGTTAACAAAAACTGGGTTCCACAGCACTACCATTCTCCCATCTTCAACAAAATCAAAATTATACTTGTACTTCCAGGACTGCAGTTTATTCTTCACAAAAAGGTTGAGTTTGCACTCATTCAGCTTGGTTTCAAGGATGCAGCAACAATGCACACCAAGTTCAAAAATGTATTTACACAAAAAATTTTGTTTAGAGGCTTTGTTCAAGCCTCTAATATTCCAACATAGAATCTTCATCAACGGTAAGGGCCCTGGCCCCTCCCTCTTCCTCGAAATCCACCACCTCTTTGTCCACCTGTCTGTCCCCTACCTCTTGTTTGCACCCCTTCTTTGATAAGGTGGTTGGTTAACTTTCCCTTTCCCACAGTGATGAATTCCTCATTCTTATTGGTAAATGAGGGAGATGGTTCATCAATTGTGGGGTTTTGCACATTCTTGCCTTTTCCAGTTTCACCACCTCCAGTCTTCTTCTCACCAGAAACTCCTGCCTTTGTTCCAGTGTCCTTCTTATGTTGTTTATCCAGTTCAGCTTTTGCCTCTGCCATGATAGTGGCTTTAAGGGCTTCAATCCTAGCCTCCTCCCTTTCTCTGTCCTCCTCATCCAGCTTCCTCTTGTTCAAATCTTGGAGGACAGGGCAATCAAAAGGATTATGGCCAAAGCATTCACATTGATAACAGTAATGGGGCATGTCTTCATATTCCACATGTTGGGTAAAGCTTCCTCCAACCACATTGACCTTAACCTTCACAGGAGGCTTGACAGAGAGGTCCATGTTGATTAGAATTCTGCAGAAGTTGACCTTCTTATATTTCAGCTTATCATCCATTTCTTCATCTTCAGGTTCATTAGTGAATCTGGAAGCCACAGAGTTAGTCAGCCCATCAGTATATAGTGGTGTGCCCAGTTTAGAAGCAATATGTGAGAGAGATATAGGAGCCCAATATTTCATAGGCACATCCAGCAGCTTGACCCAGACTGGCATAGTAGAGAAGGACTTGGCATTCCACATGAAGTCTTCCTGTGGGATGCTCAGCAGCAGCTTGCAGCTTCTTACTGTTTATTTCCTTGTGTTCCTTTACCAAAATGGCATCCCTATCCTCAAAGGTGGTGTATTTGAAGACAATCCACCCTTTATGATGTGGTAAGAATTGGCAAGGGACACCCCATTCGTCCACCATTTCCTGAATGGCCTTCAAACCAGGGAATCTACCTGTAAAGCACCCCACAAGGCAGGGTCCCCAAATATCCTGTATAGTGAGAGTGTCCTCTTCTGGGATAAACACCTCGTCAGAATCATTTTCAATCTTGTACAACTTCATTCCCTTGTTGGCAGACCTATTCTTTTCGAAGAAGGAAGCAAATGATTTCTTTTCAGCTTCCTTGTCACCTTCCTTTTCCTTCAGAATTGGTTCAGCATTCACTTCACCAGGTTGTTTAGCAGGTTCTTTGTTGGTCACACCAGATGGTTCTCCAGGTGTGACTTCCTTTTCAAATCTGTTCTAAGGATCCATCTTCTTCTTCCCATTCTTATCGTATAGTGGGATGTTAAGTTCCTTAGCCACTTCCTCCTCGTCCACAGAGGGGGAGTCAGACACAGTAACAGAAGCATCATCCGAGGAGTCAGAGGTTTTCTCCCTTTCCTCGTCTTCAACAACATTCTCATCATCAACAACATTCTCATCATCTTCTATATCCAAGTTCTCAGGTAGTTCCACAGGATCCAACTCGTCTTCCACAACAGGGTCCAAAACCTTCTTCTTAGGAGGGGTAGGGGGTGTAGGATGTCTCCTTTGCTTCTTGTGTCCCTTCGCCATAATAGGGTACTAAAAGAAGAGAGGAGCCAAGCCACACTTACCGGGAATCCATTGAAGACGGGGATGAACAGTGTCGCAGGAACTCTAGACGTCGTTGACTTCACATACTGAGCCCAACCCAGTGAAGAATTAGGTCGGAAGGTGCGTCGTGAAGAGTAGAGACAGAATCCAAACTCCGATGAGAGAAACTCCGGTGACCTGGTCGTCGATTATGAACGGCAATGGCTTCCAGCTACAGTAGCCGAATCGCCAGAGAGAGAAACACTCGAGAGCAATCCAAGTATGAAGTGGTGACGCCGTGAAACTGACCATGACGATATCATACATGAAGCGTGACGTGATAATGCTATAGGGAAAAGAACAACTCGAGATAGACTTACCAAATGACTTGTAACGCTTGAAGAACCTAACAGTGGAACAAACTTTCCTAAACTCAATTGTTGACCACACGAAAGGCGTGAATGTTGTCAAAAATCAGTTAATCAATGAAAAATCTTTGGAAGATATTATGCTCACATCAAAAGCTAACGGAACAAACGAATTTTGAATACGGACCGAACGATCGGTCAAATAATTGACGCTACGATATCTGAAAGCTTAAATATTGTTTGTACGCGCTATGGAGGTACTCCATCTAGGTTCGTAAGAACCAAACTCAAGAAAGATCGAATTACAAACTCGACGAACTTGTCATATGTCTTGAACGAAACAAAAGTACAAAACTCATGCGATAATATCTTGAATGATAAACAACAACAACAACAACAGCAACCCAGTTAAATCCCACAAGAGTAGGGTCTGGGGAGGGTGTGTGTACGCAGACCTTGCCCCTACTCGAAAGTAGAGAGGCTGTTTCCAAAGAGACCCCCGGCTCAACGTCGAAAGTTGCATTGCTTGACTAACTGCTACTTCATTAATTAAAGAAGCGCAGATAGTTTAGAGATCCATTTTGATTTATTCCATCACACCCCAAAGCCAAAAAATGGTGAAATTTTGGCTCCATCGGAGATGATGGAAATATCTTGAATGATAAATAAAGAGAATTCCCTTGGGAATGGCGAGGCCATTCAACTAATCACAGTCATGAAGCAAATGTGAAACCAATTTGTTGGACTCCGTACTTTAAAAGAATTTCAAGGACGAAATTCCTTTAAGGGGGAAGAAATGTAACGCCCTGAAAACCGGCCCAGAAGTTATTTGCTAATTAAATAAATAAGAATTATTTATTTATGATAATGTATTCTTTTAAAGAATTAAAAGATATTTTAGAGATTCTAATCATCTCAATATAACGAGACTGATCTGATTACAATTGTAAAGATTTAAATTAAAAGACTGATCAGTACTAATTAATCAAAAGAATTAAGACGAATCAAGTGGAACGTATAAATGTTTGTCAATTGAATATAAAAGTTATATCGTTGGGTAGGGATCGACGAATCGAACCCAACGACGCGAACGGATCTCAATTCGGAGCAAGTTGGGCCGAAAAATGTGTTCCTACTCAGACACATTATTTTAAATTACGGAGTACAAAACCGTAGGCTTAATTTCACGCGTCTTCAGATTTCCAATGCCGCCCCCTGTCTTCTTCTTCGATCCTCCTTCTCCGATTGAAAGACGCTGCCACTAGACCTTGCCAATTTTCTGTCTCCGGCGCATGCAAACCCACGAAGGTATGGACGGGAGGTCAGCGATCGAGCTCCAACGTGAGAAGCAGCAACTGATTTCCGGCAACTGACCTTCTCAATCAAGCGGCAACAAACCAACATCTCTCCGGCGACGAGTTCAGGCGGAGATGAGGACGAGCGATCCAGCAATTCCGGCGAGCCTTCTCTGCTCCGGCGAAATAGCAGCGACGGCGTCTGGCAGCAACTCCGACGCCTCTGACAGTGGTTTGGAACCAGCGTCAAAATCCAACAACTTCGCCTCTCCGGTGACAGAGGCGGGGACCAGGTGACGTCGGGCAGTGACCAGTGGAGTTCAGGCAGCAAACGAGATTACTATGACGGTGGAATCCAAATGATGTTCTCTTGAATTGAATTGACAAATCGAGGTGAGTACGTGGACATCTAACACTAGAAGATGCATTTAGGTTTGAAATCCCGTTCATGATTGTTATCGTGGTTGATCTATGTGATTTATCTGTGTAATTGTTGATTGTGGTTTCGGGAATGGTTATCGTTGAATCAAAAGGGTAGTATGCATGATTTAGGTGTTGATTGATGAATTAATGTGCTCGATAATGTTAAGGATGTTAATATGAACCTATTGGTGTTTGTTATGAGATTTCTATTGGTTCGAAGTTGAAAACGAAACAGGTATGAAAATGGATTTTGGTTTCGTCAGACGGTAGGTGGTACCGCCAAGACGGTACCGTGCTACCATCACACTCTTTATGCTTACGTTTTCTCTGCCGGTAGCTGTGACCATTCGGTACCTAGGTACCGGACGGACGGTAGGCCCTACCGCCCAGTCGGTAGTCGGCTACCGTGACAGTCCTACCGGAAGAGCCCAGATGGTTCGGACGGTACCCTCGGTACCGTAGGACCGGTACCCAGGTACCATAAGGACGGTACCCCATACCGTGACAGGTACCGTCTGGTACCTGATGCCGGGTCTGTCGATCTGTGTTTTCGTCAAGGATTGATTCCGAGACTCCGTGTGTTGCATGACGATAAACATGGGTGTTTACACCCAGTGTTAGGTCGCTATTGGATTATGTTGGATATCTCGTTAAATGCATTGTGGATCTATGAATGATGTATTATGAATTGATTAATGAATGTTGGATATATCACCTAGAAGAACTCTAGGAAATGACCTGAATGGATTAGTGGCAAGGTATGCTATAAGTATAGTAGTTAGAGCCATGTGGTACCTGCTGGGTTCAATGGCTGTTCGGGTAAAAACGTGTACACGGGGATCTAAGAACTGTCGTTCCGAAGGGGACAGGGATCTCACCCACCCAACGAGGAACTCCCGAGTTGGTTTGAGCTTGACCTTCGTTCTGAAGGGGAAGGTCATGACTCCATAGGAAAGTCGAATTCAGTTAAGCTTTAACCTAGCATAGGTTAAGAGCCAAGTACGACAAGGAAAGTAAAGTAAACTCAGAAGGAAAGTTTCTAATACTTATATCATTGTTGTTTGTATCTTATGAACTGTTATGATGTTGATTATGCATGTAATATCTCATATGTCGTATGAATATTGCCAAGCATGTTGTGTGCATGATATCATGTGATAATTGTGAATTAGTGGATTCGCCTATGTGTATGTTCGAACTGTTAGATATTTCTCACTTAGCTTCAATGCTGAGCGTGTAGCCCTTTTTCCTATTTGCTACACGTAGGTGGTTGTGGTAGATTGACTCTGGAATCCATCCCGGAGAGCAGCATGACGGATGCAGGGATTTAATGTTTGATTTAATTATAAGGCTTCCGCACTGTTTGTATAAACTCTGATATGTAATTATTAAATGATTTTGAATTGTTGAGTTTTAAATTAAATGTTTTAATTTATTGGAAAATGTTGTATGTGGATACCAATTTAGTAGCAACCTGGTTCGCTAACCTATTTATTCGGGTTATGCGGGTTGGGGTGTTACATTAATTACAATAGTTACATTGATTTTTATATTATTAGAGATGCATTTGATGAATTTAAATCATTAAAATGCAATTCAAACGATAATTTGTCACACGTAATACGCAAAGGACTTGGTCTTGCAAGCTAGATGACAAATTGGAATTTTGATTTATCACTAAGCAAAATGTAAAAAAACAATATTTTATTAAAACTTCTAAATATTGTAATTTAGGCAAAAAACAAATTAAGTTTTTCTACATCAAAAAGATGCAAAAAAATCTACTACTACTACATGGCGCAGTAAACCATGTAATTCAAAGTGTATAACCATTAAAGAAAACAAACAAAAAATTAATAATTAAGGAAGCACGCTTAAACTGACACACCAAGTCTATTATTATATATCTTCGATCTTCGCACTCTTCATCTTGTTGACTGACTTGTCTCCACTTCCACCTTCATGTTCGTCATGTGTTCTTTTAATTGGCATGAAAATGTTAATATCACCTCCAGAGCGTGTCCTTTGATTATCTTTAGAATCTAGAAAATCCATCATTAAATTCTGCAAGATAATGTTATTTGATTGTAAATTAGTATAGAATACTCAAGATTTAAACACTAAAAGTGTCTAAAGTTAGTTTATCACAATAGTTAATCTTGCCTTAACACATGATGATGATTCCCCCGCTGAAAAGTTGTGTCTCACTAACTTTTTCATAAACTGAAGAGCCAAGAGTGATATCGGTCTGCACCAAAATAAGGTCACATTCACTTGCAAGACTACACTTACCATGTTAGCATACGTTCGGGAAAGTTTATGGTGGAAATACTCATATTCAAATTCAAACCTTTGTTGAGAAAAAAACAGAATTCAATTGCTTAAAGTTTGAAATGATTTGATCATCAAAACAAATGTCAATCACATCAAAAGAAGGTTCAAAGTCACTCAAGCGAGCTTTCCTGACTTTAACTTTAAAGATAAATGATTTGTTGAATAACATTTGCCTAAAAGCCTCTGGTTGTGCACTTCCTCCAGATACATCCTTTACATTAAAAACAAAAATTGATTATTATCAATGAAACAAAAAATGTTTGCTACAAAATCTCTAGGGACAAAACATGTCTAAAATATCAGAAAATATTATTCTAAAAATGTGCCAATTTATCAATACATTTCAAGACCTTCTTATAAAGGTACACAAAAGATGAAAATTAAAATGAGTTAAAATCGTAAAAAAAGTTCAACTTGCACGAAAAATGACTATAAGATGATGATGAGCGAAAAAAATATTCATTTCAATCATGCAGCCTTTGCGGGTTATTGAATTTGATATTATTTTTAACATGCAGATGATGGAACACATCAATTAGACCACTGATATGATTAATTACTGTAAACATTCCATCCATATAATAGGAGCAAGATTGTGCATATACCTGACAAAATTTTTAGCATCTCTGAGCATGATTTGTGCAACAATAAACATCCAAGATTCTTAAATATGACAAAAGTTGCACTATCCGATGAATCATTTACCCTCGCCATAATGCAATACCTGTGCATGACCATTCCACAATTTTAAAATTTAAAATATCTCAAAGCTACTTTAAAAGTCAGCGCTTATTGTAATATATTTTTCAAACCTTGGGATCACATTCACAACTCGCTTATCACAAACATTGCAAAAATAAGAACCATTCCTTGGAACCACCTCAAACCCACACCTACATGTTGGTATAAACCAATCTGATCCACCATCAACACCCTTGATTGTGCCGTAAACTACATAATCACCATCCTAAACATAGGAAAATAAGACAATTACAGTTCGTAATTAACTTTCACATGCCATTGATCATTACTTATTTAAGAAAATATGATAAACTAACCTCAGTACAATCCTTCAAGTCTTCAATTCTCTTTGCCTGAGAAATTTTTAAGATTTTATGTGAAAAAATGTAACTATATTTCTTTTCTAATTTTTTTGAAAATAGATTCACTTGACAATTCAAGTAAAAACTTAACTATAGAATAAATGTGATTGTTTTTAAGTTTTACAAAAATAAGTGTTTGTGAAATATATCAAATGCGACTATAATTGTTTTTATTTTAGAACATAAATTTATTTGATTTTTAGGAATTTATTTTTTATCCATGAATTTTTAATGAAATTATTTGATATTTTATGAATTGAAATATAAAGATTTTTAATAGTTTTTACTAATATATTTTAAGAAATCCCATGGGTTAAACGTTTTACTCAAAAAATGAACTGGATAGTTAACAAATGCAGCTACTAATTCTTAGATAAACCCTATGAAACCCACGAAAAAAATATACACCGTATTAATTTTGTCACTATGACTGCTTTCTTCATCTTGAATTATTTTGTTAGACACGAAAAATATT